GGTCTGATTTTTTTAAAAATAAATAATTGCAAACGACAGCTGAGGTTTTTTCCGATCTGTATATAAATTTTCAGAATGACGATTTTTTTTGTTTTCGAGATATTAAATATCAAAGATTTTATATCGGTGCGACTAAGACGATGAAGCCTCGTCCCGGATAGCACAACAATTTGTCACAATTTTGCAGCAATTTGGCAATGCCAAATTGCGAGTTTGCATTGCCAACTTGCTGCAAAACTGTGGCAAATATCGATATGTCCACCCTTTTTAAACTTTACAGTGCAAACTTGCTGCAAAATCGCTGCAAAAAAGCTGAATGAGTTTTTCGCAAAATTTCAAAAAAATTTGCTGAAAAATGACACGGAAAATTTTCTGACATTTGAAAATGCAATTTTTTTGGAAAATAAAATTTTTAAGTTTTCTTGAAAGTTATTATTTTTAAATTTCTGTACTATAAAAATAATTAAATCGTAGGAAAAGAAGGAAGTAAAAAGAAAACAAATTTTTTAGAAATAAAGGCACTCTCACACCTTTTTGGCTGCCTGCCTGCCTGCAGGTTACCATGGCAACCCACGAGTGTGAGTGAGACAGAAAATTTGAATATTCAAATTTTTAAATTTTCTGTCGCACTCACTCTCATGCGTTGCCATGGTAACCTGCAGGCAGCCAAAAAGGTGTGAGAGTGCCTTTACGCTTTATATAAAGCATTAAATTTAAAGAATTAATGAAAGTTAAAAAATCAAAAATTCACATTTTGGCTAAAAAATTTTGTGATTTTTTAAATTGAAGTTTATATATATGAAATAATTGTATTCCTTACGTCAAGACGAATCGATCGATATATATAAAGTATACATTTGAGGTAAATTTAAAGAATTAATGAAAGTTAAAAAATCAAAATTTCACATTTTGGCAATAAAATTTTGCTTTCTCCACGAGGAAGCAAATTTTTTTGCTGATCGTAAAGAGGAAGCAAAATGTTCATGTAATGAACATCTGAATTTACAACTTGTTTAAGTTTATATCTTTCTCTATTGTATTATATTATTCTTTTATTGTACATCTGTCAATTAATTTCGAATTTCAAAATACATTATTTATTCAAAAGTAAGTACTCTTACAAGATTTATCAGATTATGGATATTGATATTTTAACATTTTTATGTGTGTACATCCAAAAACAGGGTTTTTACTAATTTCGTTCAACAAAATTTCCGGTTTTTTTCTCATTTTTCCCGATTTTTTTTCTTGTCAAATTTAAATTTGATAATTTGTAAATTTTTGCAACAGTCATGAAAATCGATATTTTTATAAAATTAGAATTTTTGTTTTTACTTTAAAATTTACCTAATCCGATGGAGATTTCATTTTAATAAATTAACAACTTCCCAGTCAAAAATCTTATGCTATATGAAGTTGAATAAAAAGCCTAATTGAAGCGTTAGGATAGTTGACAAACAAGTTAAATATCAGTAGAAATCTATCTGGTATCATACTACCAACTTTTTTTAAATTCGTTAGCTTGCTCCAAATTGTGATTAGAAAAACTTCTGAATTGACAGATGTACAATAAAAGAATAATATAATACAATAGAGAAAGAAAAATAAAAAATATTTATAATATAATATATCAATGTACATAAGTATAAAGCACTATGTACACAAATATGTTTAAGTGTTTATATTTATACATTTAAAAGCATGTATATACTAATATTTATAACAATCTTTTGTGTTAAGTTGCATTTTGTAAAATATTAAAGTCTAAAATTCAATCTTTGGGACTGATTTCATGATATCTCGCTTAAACGATCAGCAAGGATTTCAATTCAAATGGATTTGTAATGTCCAAACTTACCTTAAAACATCCCCGTTTGTCGATTTGCTCATCATTTTTGGTCGTAACTTTCAGGCTTCCTGACCACCGTGTGTACCATGATGAGGAAGCTAAATGGTCATGAAATGAACACCTATTTTTTAACTATTGTACAATTTATTAATTTATTATTAGTACTTATAATTTATTTATCTTTCAACTTTGTGTTTGTGATTTCCTTTTCTTTCTGAGTCTTTAGTGTGTGGTGCGAATTTTTAAGTTTTCTATTATTCGATATACTGAATATATTCCTTTACTGATTTGTAAAATTAATTTTACATAAAAGTTTATAAATGTAGTAATTTTTTATTTATTAAATTTATTATTTATAATTTTATTTATTTTTATATAAAATACTTAAAAAACGGTAAAAAAGTTAGAAAATATTTAAACTGTGCCATCCCTGAGCAGCCATTTTTTTACCTAAAGGCCTAAGCAGAATAGCTTAGAGAAAGACGTTCGCGAACGTGAAACATGAGTTAGAAAAGGACAGAGATATATTTGTATCCTTTTCTATCTCATGCATCTCGTTCACGAACGACTTTCGCGAATCTGTTGTGCGTTGGCCTTGACACAATCCTTTCTAAAAAAAAAAACATTGCGATAAAAGGTCGAATAGAAAAAAATCGAACTCGAAAAACTATCGAAATAAGAAATGAGCATTGAGAATGAAAAATGTAAATAGAAGGGAGAAACATATTTAAAGATTAGAAACGTACAGGTGGAGCTGCAGTTGATTTCGTCAAAAATGAGCGCTAATATTTAGATTATATAAACCTTTTTTGTCATAAAACACAAACATTGAAAATGTTTAAATCGTATTATACAAAAAAAATTAAGAAGTACAACACTATTTTACACAAAGCGGAAATTAATTTCGGATCTCCTTTAAGTTTTTTATCATGCTTTTAGATTAGAACAGTTTTTACGTTGTAGAAATGAACATAACCTATTCAGTTAAAGCCACTTGATTGGTCAAAATAATTAGCGCGCGATAATTTTAAAATATGTCATTCAACTTACCATTTCAGTGAATATTTTAAAAGACTGAAAAATTTCTTTTCACTAACTTCACATTATAATTAACAATTAATCAGAAATTTAAATTATGTATCTAAAAAGTTTATAAAATAAAGACCTTAAATATTTTATCAACAAACTATAATCAATTATAAGCGAATTAGGACGTAGTACTATAAAGATAAATATACACTGAAAGAAATTTCATAGGAAAAAATAACAAAATGCGTATTACATTTTAATATATTCTTTTAGAATTTAGGGAAAAGTGTACTTTTTATTAAAATTCAATATACTTTATATTAAAGTTCCAACTTAAAATCTTTTTTCAAATATTAATAATTATTGTAGAAAGAACGTAAAAAGATTACCAATATTTGAAAATATTATATTAAATTCTCATAGAGTTGTTGCATTATATGGAATGTAGCGTTCTAATATTTGTAAAACTTTATACGAAAAATTCAGAATGTCGGAAGAAAAGGGAAAAAAGCGGAAACTGTCGGACGTTTCCGTTAATTCTCGGGAGGAAGAGGAGTGAGACTAGGAACAACACATTCACACTTACAATACAGGTTAATACACATACTAATGAACACGCACGTTCATTTCGCTTATACATAGACATTACACGATCGCAACGAAACCTACACTTACAATTCTATACGCATAACGATAAATTTCGCTGGGGGTCGGCATATATCGTTTTCTTATATACTAACTACTGAATATTTTTACCACTTGCGAGAAAGAAGTTTACTTATAATAACTTAATAATAAAAAATAGTTTACTAGTGCCAATGGTGTAATTTTATAGAGGTTACGCTGGGTTCATTTTTATTATTAATTGTTTATATAGATTTTTCTTTTTTTTCAGATTAAAAATTATGATTGTTATAAAAATTTTTATTGCAAATAAAAATTAAATAATTGTAAAGATGACATCAAAAAATAAAAATTAATAAAAATAATAATAAATTTAATAATTAATAATAAATTTATTATTATTAAATAACTTTAATAAAACATTTTTTATAAATTGAAAATAAATTTAAATTAAAAAGAATTTAAAACACTATAAACATTTGAAACACGTGTGTTGACAGTTGATAGGTACGTTCTGCTGGTTAACAACACTTTCGAAAATCGGATCAAGTCGTAGAAGTTCGAGTAGGACACGAAGCCGCAAACAGACAGAACTTCGGTTAAATTCGTAGTCTCTCGGGAAAATCCGTGACTTTTAATATAAAGTTTTACAAAATGTGAAATAAGTATACGGATATATGTTATTTTTCTTACTATTTTGTGAAATTATTTATTATAATATTTCGTATTCTGTGAATTCATAAAGAAAATACTAATTTTTAAAATAAATATACTAATTCTTATTTCTTAAAATAATAGTTACTCTTAAATTCATTATATATTTTCGTAAAAACTGTAATAGTAATCAATATAGGTGCACTTTTTCCCTAAATTGTAACATTTATATTAAACTCTAATATGAGTTTAATACTTAGTAGTATGAATTTTCTTTCAGTGTAATTTAAAAATAAAAAAAGCAGAAAATGATTAGTGCAAGAGAGATTATAGCGTAAATCACTCTCTTATTTCATATTCATAATTTTTTTCTTTACATTTTGAATCGATATGGGATAAAAAAAGCAAGAAGAAATCAAATCATTTTATAAAATAAAATGGAAATTGAAAAAGGAACAGAAGTAACGAAGACGGCCGCTTGCGGCCGTCGGAGGTGCTGGTCTGTATTGTCAAAGAAGTTTATTTGTAACCGTCCAGTATTTTTAAAAACGATGGTATGTAGATATAATTTATACTTTGCTATTAAAACTAAAACTATTACATTTTATATATACGTAAATATTAAAATAAATTCTTTTTAACCTTCACATTTCTATGGAAGGGGTTAAATTATTTTATTTTAATTAACAACTAGCGATGTATTCCTCGCTCGCTAACGCTCGCTCGGTTAAAATTGTACTTATTGTTGTTTACTTATTGTAGTTTATGTATATTATATTTATAATTTATGTTTTAAATTGATATCTTATTAATATTGTATAAAATTTATCATAAAATTGAAAAAAGATGTTACATAAAAATAGTTTGTAAGAATTTCTAAAAGCATATATGCAAAGTATTTTGATTTATTTGAAAATAATTGAAAATAGATTTTTCAAGGACGGTGTCGAGGTCACGGGGTCGGTGTCGTTTTTCGAAATTTGTTAACTTAATATAATAGAAGATGTTTCGTTTTAAATTAAGAAATGTTAAAATTATTAAGTTAAAAACATTTGATTTTAATGACACTTAAAATTAGACACAATATTATAGGTTACTAACTAAAAATTGAAAAAACAACAATAAATAATAAAAAATTGAAAAAATAAAAAAATTCTTAAAAAATTGCAAAATAACCCTTTTTTGGGTTAAAATTGCAAAAAGATGTTACATAAAAATAGTTTGTAAGATTTTTTAACAGCATATATGTAAAGTATTTTGATTTATTTGAAAATAATTGAAAATAGATTTTTCAAGGACGGTATCGAGGTCACGGGGTCGGTGTCGTTTTTCGAAATTTATTAACTTAATATAATAGAAGATGTTTCGTTTTAAATTAAGAAATGTTAAAATTATTAAGTTAAAAACATTTGATTTTAATGACACTTAAAATTAGACACAATATTATAGGTTACTAACTAAAAATTGAAAAAACAACAATAAATAATAAAAAATAATAATAAAAAATTGAAAAAATCAAAAAATTCTTAAAAAATTGCAAAATAACCCTTTTTTGGGTTAAAATTGCAAAAAGATGTTACATAAAAATAGTTTGTAAGATTTTCTAACAGCATATATGCAAAGTATTTTGATTTATTTGAAAATAATTGAAAATAGATTTTTCAAGGACGGTGTCGAGGTCACGGGGTCGGTGTCGTTTTTCGAAATTTGTTAACTTAATATAATAGAAGATGTTTCGTTTTAAATTAAGAAATGTTAAAATTATTCAGTTAAAAACATTTGATTTTAATGACACTTAAAATTAGACACAATATTATAGGTTACTAACTAAAAATGGAAAAAACAACAATAAATAATAAAAAATAATAATAAAAAATTGAAAAAATCAAAAAATTCTTAAAAAATTGCAAAATAACCCTTTTTCGGGTTAAAATTGAAAAAAGATGTTATATAAAAATAGTTTGTAAGATTTTCTAAAAGCATATATGAAAAGTATTTTGATTTATTTGAAAATAATTGAAAATAGATTTTTCAAGGACGGTGTCGAGGTCACGGGGTCGGTGTCGTTTTTCGAAATTTGTTAACTTAATATAATAGAAGATGTTTCGTTTTAAATTAAGAAATGTTAAAATTATTAAGTTAAAAACATTTGATTTTAATGACACTTAAAATTAGACACAATATTATAGGTTACTAACTAAAAATTGAAAAAACAACAATAAATAATAAAAAATAATTATAAAAAATTGAAAAAATCAAAAAATTCTTAAAAAATTGCAAAATAACCCTTTTTCGGGATAAAATAGCATAATAATCCTTTTCAGGATAAAATTGCAAAATAACCCTTTTTCGGGTTAAAATTGAAAAAAGATGTTACATAAAAATAGTTTGTAAGATTTTCTAAAAGCATATATGCAAAGTATTTTGATTTATTTGAAAATAATTGAAAATAGATTTTTCAAGGACGGTGTCGAGGTCACGGGGTCGGTGTCGTTTTTCGAAATTTGTTAACTTAATATAATAGAAGATGTTTCGTTTTAAATTAAGAAATGTTAAAATTATTAAGTTAAAAACATTTGATTTTAATGACACTTAAAATTAGACACAATATTATAGGTTACTAACTAAAAATTGAAAAAACAACAATAAATAATAAAAAATAATTATAAAAAATTGAAAAAATCAAAAAATTCTTAAAAAATTGCAAAATAACCCTTTTTCGGGTTAAAATTGAAAAAAGATGTTACATAAAAATAGTTTGTAAGATTTTCTAAAAGCATATATGCAAAGTATTTTGATTTATTTGAAAATAATTGAAAATAGATTTTTCAAGGACGGTGTCGAGGTCACGGGGTCGGTGTCCGTTTTCGAAATTTGGTAACTTAATATAATAGAAGATTTTTATATCATCCTGTCAAAGTAAAGTAATTGTTTTATTGGGGTATAGTTCCGAAAACGTCTCACCTCCGATCTTAATGAAACTTGGAATATTAACGTATTTTAGTGCTCAGATTACTAAAATGATAGTGAAAATTGTCGCAAATGTGATTATCATGGTAAAAACCATAAAAAACACCATAAAATCATGGTTTTTTGCAGTTATCTTGTAAAAAACGCAAAATTTCGAAAAAGGTTTAAAATAAAAGTTGTAGGTCTCAAAAAACACACATTTTTTGTTGTATGAATTTTTTACCAAAAGTGGTTGTTTTTTGAGAAAAGTTCAAAAAACCATAAAACATCATGAAAAATGACGGAAAAAACAATGCACATCATAACTAGAGAAAAATTTAGTACTTGTAAGTATATTAACGTATTTTGATGCGCTAATTATAAAAATGATAATAAAAATTGGCGTAAAATTGATTATAATGAAGAAAACCATAAAAAACACCATAAAATCATGGTTTTTTGCCATATCCGCCCCACCCCCCGCCAAGGTTTCTTTAAAATACGTAAGAAAAGTACTTTACGCGGCTGTACTTTATGCTACTGTTGATTTTTCTTGAAAAATAACCACTTTTTGTAAAAAATGCATAAACATAAAATGTGTGTTTTTTTAAGTTCTTTAACTTTTATTTGGAACATTTTTCGAAATTTGGCCATTTTTACGAGATAATCGCAAAAACCATGATTTCTTGGTGTTTTTTTATGGTTTTCTCCATGATAATAAATTTTTCGCCAAATTTAACTATCATTTTTGTAATCAGCGCATCAAAATAAGTTAATATACTTGCAAGTACTAAATTTTTCTCTAGTTATGATGTGCACTGTTTTTTCCGTTATTTTTCATGATGTTTTATGGTTTTTTGGATTTTTCTCTAAAAATAACCACTTTTGGTAAAAAATTCATACAACATGAAATGTGTTTTTTTTTGAGACCTACAACTTTTATTTTAAACCTTTTTCGAAATTTTGCGTTTTTTACGACATAATCGCAAAAAATCATGATTTTATAGTGTACATTCGTGTACGATCCAACTGGGGATCCTGTCCCTTGGATCCGTATGCAAACACCCCCACGATTGGCCACTGAACATCGTCCAATTCCTGCAATGCAAGTAGAGGAAGTTCCAAACTTAATTAATGAACCTGAGCAAGTTCAAGCTCCTCCAAATCTTCGTACCGCGTGTACAGCTAAGTGAGCCACGATTACCGGCTAGAGTAGGAGATCGGCGGCAACGGCGACTACAACCAGCTCTAAGACGTATAGTACAAATCAATACTCTTCCTCTTTGGATGCGTCCAGAATAGACAAGAAACATGAACGTATACGTAACGTATCCATTTAAAACACATTGTGACGTTACGTATACTTTCATGTTTTCGGTCAAGTTTGGACACGTCCTTAGAGGAAATGCTAGACAACGCCTGACGCAGGCTATGAAGAGGCTGGCCACAGCGTTTTCAAGAAACAGGCGCTAAATGTTTTCTTTAATACTTTTTTCTTTGTAAAATTTCTTATTTCTTTTAGTTTCTATTATTTTCAGTTTTTGTATAATTAAGTTCTTTTTCTTTTTATTTAGTATTTACTTTTATAATGCGCATGCGCTTAAGACTTTATTCGTTATATTTTGCTTCCACATGAAAAAGCTTTGGATTCGTGTGTATTGTGTACAAATTATCTCTAATATACTTCGATGGATTGTTCTAAAATTTTGTAGGCTTATTACAGACATCAAAATCAAAAATCAAACACAAGGATTTTAAAAAATACCCACATAATTTTTTTATATCATTTTTTTAAAAATTCGAAAATACGTATTTTACACTGTAAATAAAGTTATTTGTCCAAGCAACTGATTTTTCGCATTAAAACGAATTGATTAACCGACACCGAAAAAAAAACTTGGTACCCGTTTACCAAGATTTTACCAAGCTCAAGGGTTCGTTAGAAGGATTACTAAGCTCTCTTGGTAAAATTAACTTATAAATTTTAAGTTAAAATTACTAAAAAAATTGGTTACTTTAACTAAATATATTGGTTCTCTTTACCATGAATGCCTTTGTTAAGCACAACAATGAAAAATTAGTAAATTCTACCTACCACAGTGAATATTAATCTTACTACTGACGCATTTCATTTGAAAACGATCAGTCATGACTTAGATTTTTTTAATATTTCGTTATTTTGTATTATTTGGGGACTTAAATAAGTATGAAAAATTGTAATTAAAAATCTTAAGTTTTTTTCAAGTTATTTATATTAACAAATTTAAGATACTTCTTTTCCTTTTCACTATAACTTTTTCATTTTTCTTTGTACAGAAAAGTGTTTTAAATGTTTTTTCTTCAAAAATTATTGAATTTTAAGAAAATGATTTTTATTTTTAATATTTTATAATTTTTATATTATTTATTTAAAAAAAAATTTTTATTAATGTTTAAACCTGTTATCGGGCTAATTTCGATCTAAAAAAAATCATGAATATTCTTCAACATTATACAAATAACATATTCAAATTTGGTGAATGCATTATGTTTTGTTCTCGAGAAAACATTTTTTGAAATTTACCGTGCATGACTCTAGCGGTCGCATCGGTCAGCGCTTGGGTTAGATCCCATGCTGCGCGCCGATAGAGCACGGTAAATTTCAAAAAAATTTTTCTCGAGAACAAAACATAATGCATTCACCAAATTTTAATATGTAATTTGTATAATATTAAAGAATATTCATGATTTTTTTTAGATCGAAATTAGCCCGATAACAGGTTTAAACATTAATAAAAAATTTTTTTTTTTAAATAAATAATATAAAAATTATAAAATATTAAAAATAAAAATCATTTTCTTAAAATTCAATAATTTTTGAAGAAAAAACATTTAAAACACTTTTCTGTACAAAGAAAAATGAAAAAGTTATAGTGAAAAGAAATTTACCGTGCATGGCTCTATCGGCGCGCAGCATGGGATCTACGCGATGCGACCGCTAGAGCCATGCACGGTAAATTTCAAAAAAAATTTTCTCGAGAACAAAACATAATGCATTCACCAAATTTGAATATGTTATTTGTATAATGTTGAAGAATATTCATGATTTTTTTTAGATCGAAATTAGCCCGATAACAGGTTTAAACATTAATAAAAAATTTTTTTTTAAATAAATAATATAAAAATTATAAAATATTAAAAATAAAAATCATTTTCTTAAAATTCAATAATTTTTGAAGAAAAAACATTTGAAACACTTTTCTGTACAAAGAAAAATGAAAAAGTTATAGCGAAAAGGAAAAAAAGTATCTTAAATTTGTTAATGAAAATAACTTGAAAAAAACTTAAGATTTTTAATTAAAATTTTTCACACTTATTTAAGTCCCCAAACAATACAAAAAAACGAAATATTAAAAAAATCTAAGTCATGACTGATCGTTTTCAAATGAAATGCCTCACTATAATTTAGTTAAATTTACTATTTTGATTAGTTAATTTAACTAATTTTCTAATGTTAAAATTTTTTTTTTATTTTTATTCGTTTATATTAAAAGATTGATAATTAAATAAAGTCCAATTAGTTTTTAGTTAATTTATTAACTTTTAAAATCATTTAATTATACAATAAATATGATTTTCCGTTTGGCATTAAAGTTTTTTTTCTTATCTTATAATCACAAAGTTTATCTAAACTAATTACTTTAAGTGAGATCGCTTCTCCTATGACATATGCTTGTAAATGATCGTCAAATACTGACGTATCTAATACGCTTATAATTATAACACAGTCTTTTTTCGATAAATTATCTTCACAAACATCTTTACAATATAATTTTTCAATTATGCCAAACACCGCAGATGATTTTTTTTCTATCATTAGAATTGATCCTATTATATACTTTCTTTTATTAATTATTAAACAATCCAAACTTTGAAAATTTTTACTATTATTTGGTAAAAGTAATTTTTCTGAAAACGCTAGTGGTATATTCGTTAATTTATATTGAATATCATTTGTCGATAATGATTTGTTGTTTATAAATGTATCAGATAAAGATAACTGATTTTTTAGAGCTAAAGAATAGCAAACATTTTTTCGGTTAAACGTAACTTTTGCATATGTCTTTATTGGTCGATGGTTACCTTCCTAACGTTAAGAGGGCCTACTTTTTCCATTATCATCGCATAATGAACCAGAAAGTGGTGTTTTGGTTTTAAAATGTAACCAAATAATTTAATATATAATGAATGGTGTTCGAAAACTAACTGTTTCATGGATTCACAGTCAGCCTTTGTTATACTATCTTTTAAACTTAAAATAAGAATTTTTCTTAAGAGTTGGATTAGTTTCCAGTGCTCATCATTTTGGTCTTTAACCAAATCGCCAAAAATCAAGGGAAAATTCGAAAGAAAAGACAACATTTCAGAACCGGACATTTTGATTTCTTAACTTTGTAAATGAGCTAAACTAATCGGTGGAGGTTCATTGCCGTCATAGTGAAACCACTTCATTTGCCAATTAAGTTCATTAAGTGAAAAATAGCGTTTAGAAAATATAAAATAATTCAAAGCGGAACGCATTTCATATCGTGCAATACCTTCAAGTATATCGTGCAGAACATCAACACTGTAATTTTTAGTGACATGATATGAATTTAAATTATTGAAAAAACAACTTTCATGAATACCCGTTAGTTTAAAATTATTTAATTTTACATGGTTTTTGTATTTTTCTCTGTCTCTTAAAAGTGAAAAATTTTCTAAACACATTTTCGAAGCTTGTAAACTAGATGCAATACAAAAACGACAGTAATATTTAACTGTAAACCCTTCTGTAAATCCAAGCATTTGATTTAATCCGAGATTATCTCCAACAATTGCGATGACTTTAAAATATACACGAAACTTTTTACCGTTAACTTCTATCTCAATACCTTCTAAATTTAATTTATTTAATTCAGACACAAGCCTTCCATAAATGACTTCTTTCTTTACAGTTTTAGCATCATCAGCGTGATATAATTGAACCAAAAATATGTTTTCTAATCTTGAACGAAATTCAGGTGGAATGCCAAGAAGAACAGCATAAATCCCATTTAATTTGTAAATGCCTGCATGCGATCCAAGAGGATTTGCAGTTTCAAAAGCATCTTCATAAAGCAAAAGAGGAAATTCAATTACTTCTGACGGATAACACAATTTTGATTTCCAAAAATCGGTTTGAATGACATTAAAAATTTCATTATTGTTTTTTCGCAAATCAAGACAATAATTTTGTACAGTTTCAAATACATACGGTAACTCAAGGAATGTTTTCAATAATTTTCCTAACGGTATAAATTGACCATTTAATTCTTTGCTAATAAGATCTCCAAATTTATCTTTATCATCAATTGTCCCAAATAATAGTTTTTCTGGTTTAATAAAAAAACCCATTTCTTCAAAAACGTTAAGTCTTTTA